AACATTAACCGGAAATCCATTTCATTGTAATAATAACGCCTATAACAACGGAAAGCAAGCAATTAATTAATGATGAGCCGAATAAATAAAGTTTTTTAAAAATTCTTATTTTTGTTAAAATTTTTTTTTGATAATAAAATTTTAAATTTTTACATTCTTATTTTAAATTTTTTAAATAGAATTTCAGTTACTATTAATATTAAATTAATATTAAAAATTACGTTAAAATATTAATTATATTAAATATTTAATATAAAATTTTCATAAATTATTTTCATAAATTAGGCTAATTCAAAAAGCCTTGAAAGTCAATTATTGAAATACGTCAGTGCTAAATCAACTGGGAGCTCAACGCCTATTCGATCATTGTGGTTTATTCACTTCTAAATTAATTATTGTTCGGTGCCTGTAGTAGTGAATTGAAGGATCGGTCACCGAAATTTAAAAAATATCCTCGTGGGCACCAACCACTTCTGCTAGAGTTTGCACGACTTGAAATTCTCGTGAGTCACTCGAGGGTAAACGCTCCGAGCATTGTGCGGGTCGGGTTTTTTATCTCCTCCTATTAACTCCAAAACTACGATCCACGATAACAATAATACAATCTACCTACTATCTATCCCGAAGCTCGAAGGATACACGAATTTAAAAAATATTCATCGAACTTCGTATTTTAGAGAGTTCTTCTTTAATTTCGACAGGCATTTTTCATGAATTATCCGATCACTTCGGCTAATTTAATCGGATAAATTCGTAATATTTGAACCTTCAGGCGATCCTTCCCTTGTTTTTAAAATAGGTGAAAACCTGTTATTAGAAATGAAATCCCGGTTGACTTTGAGAATTCACCTACAAATGATCGAAATCTCTTGTGAAACAATAATTCAAATAATTTGAGGATCCTATGAAACCAAAGTTATGATCATTGCTAAAAGAAAAGGAGGAAAAATATTTCAAAAAAATTTCTTATTTTTGATGGATATTTCTTATTTTATTTGAAATATTTTTGATCCTGAAAAAGCCAAAAATTTGTTTTAATAGCTGCAAAATTATACCAATAAATTTTATTTGTTAATTTTAATAGCTGCAAAATTATACTAATAAACTTTATTTACTAATTTTTCGCATTGTTTATCCAATTGTGCTCTCCGTTAATATGTCCGTCCGCTCATACGTCCATCCAACTGAATTGCTCATTTATATGTCCATTTAACCGTATTGCCCGCTCATACGTCCTTCCTCTTCTAACATCTCTCACCATTACTGGTTAGGCTGAGTCCGCTGGCTAAAGGAGTAAAACATCTCCAAGCTGCCCGGTCCGACGCCATCGCTAGCCATTCCCTTTTCCATTGTCTAAGTCCATATATCGCTGGTCCCATTGTACGTACAAAATCTTTCCTGACTGTCAGTCCAGGTCTTTTTATCTGCTCGGCGGATCCGTAGAATGTACCTTAGACATGAGTGTCAATTGCTAATAGCTTTTTAATCTTCCACTCTCACTGGCCGCTCATACGTCCAGCCAACTGTTTTGCCCATTTATATGTCCATATAACCGTATTGCCCGTTCATATACCCATTTAACCGTATTGTGCTCATACAACTGTGCCCATTTACATGCCCACTCATATCTAATTAATCGTATTGTCCATCCACATGTTCACTTTTTAATCACATTCTTCATTCATATGTCTATTTAATCGTATTGTCCGCTAATATGGTACTTAAACGTGCTATCCACTCGTGTGACCATTAATCTCGCTGTCCACTTATATGTCTTTCATTAAGCGTCCCGTCCACTCAAATCACCATTTATGTCCGTGTTTCGTTATAATATCTATAATGCCTATAAAGCATAAGCTGTCCTGCGTATCTCATATTGGTGAATTGGTGATCGCTTATGTGATATGTGATTATGTGATCTCTCGCAATAAAGTTCACCAAACATTCACCAGCAATATGAATTTCGGTTTCAACATAATATGGACATATCCACGTTTACCATTGTAACCAAGGTTTTTTTCGGCTTATTTATGGCCATGGTTCATTTAGTGTAAATTTTTAACGTATTTTTAACGTATTTTTTAACGTATTTTTAAACGAATCTTTTTTTCTCGCAAATTCTGAATTTATACTGGAATGATTTAGGCGCATTGTACGTAAAGTGATTAGCACTCGTCATTTCTGGTTAAACTCGCTGATAATTGGTGCGGTTAAGAATCGCCAGGAGAAATCACTCGGGAATAACAGTAAAGATGAGCCGCCGACACCAACTGCGATGCCAGAATTGCACCCAAATTGTCACCTCTCAATGCACCCAATGCATCTATGGTTAATTGACAATTAAGTGGCCTAAAACAATTTAACAAATGATCAGATGTATGATTCAATGACTTAAAAAAGTCGCTTGGAGATCATTAATCAAAAAGATAATTTATAATTTAGTAGATAATTTATTGAAATTTTGTGATAAAATTCCTTTGCATTTATCACATTCACCACTATCACCTTATCAGTAAATGGCATAAAACTTAGTTACGAAATATCATTCACTGTCACCACATAATTTTTATCACAAAATATCATTTAGCGCAGTATCCCGCCAATACACACACATTGTGTACACATTCCCTAAAACTATTGATTGATTTCGCTCAGTAAACACGTGGGAAGTCGAAGCCAGCTCGTTCTCGTTTCTCTTCTTATACTATTTCTCATCCCTTTTTTCTCTCACCAAAATGTCTTCTCATTATTTTGCGTACTCTCTAAATTCGGAATATTTTGATCTTTTCCAGCTCCATTCTCATCTTATTCTCTTATTTAAACGTTCCGATGTTAAATTCGTCTCGTCGTGTTTTCAGTTATCATGTGATCTGTTGGTCACGTACGTCATGTCTGTCACGTTTATCACGTTTGGCGCGTTTGTTACGTCTGCTACGTCTATTGTATCATTCATGAGCGTCCGTCTTTGGTTTTTTTCATAATTATTATTGTGAATTCGATCGTTTTTCTCTGCAAATATTTTTTTAAAACATTTTTTAGTTGTACTTTTCGTGCAAAATTCGTTGATAAATTCGTTTTGTTGTTACTTTTATTTAAGATATTTATATTTTAAATTTTCGCTGTTCATCGTTGGTTTTCGATTTGTCCAACGATGTCCGTTCGTCCTCGATTTGTCCAACGATGTCCGTTCGTCCTCGATTTGTCGAGCGATGTCCGTCCGTCTTCGTTTTGTCCAACGATTTCCACCCATTGATTTAACGATATTCATCTTCACTCACCACATTTATCTTATGGTTCCCATCCACGCATTTATCATAATCCAAAATTTTGTCTGTTTTAAAAATATTTTTATTACTTATGGTAATTCATATTTTAAAATAAACAACAAATAAAGTAATTTAAAAGTTATCGAAATCGCTAATGGGCGGATTTCGCCAGCATTATGTCGCGGATTTTTTTGGAAATCGCCGTAAAGAGTATGTGGCGTATGTCCATTGGTTTGCCTTTTATTGATTTAATTACTTGGCTAAATGTTTTAAAATTACCGAATATTATTTTCCTATCGAAATTAATTTTTAAAAATTTGAATTAGATTTTAAATTGATTCTTCTGGTCGGTTCTGCTGATCTACTAGCCCTAAGGATCTTCTGTAATACGAGAATCGCTTGGGGGTGAAAGTGCAGAGAGAGTTGGGCTCCACTGAGAGATTATAAACTTTCAAATATAATTTTTAATTACGTAGTTGCATTGTTTATATTGTTAATCACAATATGTTTTATATATTTCAAGTATATTCAATCATATTAATTGTAAAATTGTATTAATCATATTTAACAAGTTTACATTTTCATTATGTATTTTAAAGGTTTACGTTTTATTTATATTTTGAAATAGTTTCAAAACTACTTAATTATTATTATTACTTAACTATTAATTTAAAAATTTATTGTAAAAGTATTGTAATTTATTGAGATGAAGAAAATAGAAATTATTTATTATTTTAACGATTGTTAGTAATTAATAAAATAAGCAGTCTAATTGCTCTTTTGAGAAATTGAAAAAATATTGAAGGAACTCAAAGAACGTTGTACGTCAGTGCAACACATTGGTGAGATAGAAAAACAATGATCACTCATTTGTGTGTATTTAAAATCATTAAGAGAGGGTCAATTTTTAAAGGTAAATAGAAGAGTGGGTGGAATATAAAAAAGGGAAGGGGAGAGGATTAGGACAAAGGTTGAAATATTTGGTTATACGGGAGAATAAATAATTTGACGTACTTGATTGATTACTTTTCCATTTTATCATCAGATATATTTCAGACTTTCTTCGTCCTATTTGTTTCTTTTCATTTATTTGCTTATATTTTATTTTCGTAAATTTATAGGACGAATCAGATTTTTTAAATGTTTTTTTATAAACTTCACATCACGTCACGTCACTGTAAAAGAAGTCTTTTTATTTTGAAATTATGGCAATAATAGATTTTCAGATTCGATAATTGTTGTTGCCTACGATTGCTTCAATTTAAAATTCCAATTTGAAATTTCATTTAAAAAAAAACAAAATCTGTTGATATTGTATTGATTTGGTCGAGAAAATCGACAAGAAAATTTTCGCCAAAATTCCGCGCACAGATTGTACGGCCTCGGAGGCCATTCCTATACCATCGGCCTATGATGAGTATTCAGCGTCGGGTTCTATATCGAGATCTATTGATTTGATTCATTTGAGTGATCTACAACGAGAGGATGGTGGTGGAAATAATAGCGATAATGGTAGCAGTCAAGAGAAACATCAAGAAATATGTTCCGAGGTTCGATTTTGCGACAAAAAATTTGCATAATCGATGATAGATTTTATTCGATTTATTCAGTGGTATTTTTTGACATTAATTCAATAAAATTCAGTGAAAAATATGTGGCAAGTGAATTGCGAAAAATTTTTATATTGATTTGCTACAGCATCCATCCTCTAATTTTTAGGATACTAAGAGTGTTTTTCCGTTAGCGAAATTGCCTGGCGAAATGCTAACAAATTATACGACAACGAAAACTGGCGGAATATATTTAACAAATTATCGAGTAGCATTAGTGGAGCGTTCCAAGAAAGTTGTTGCAAACATACCAATTTTATCAATTGACGAAGTACATGATATAGGAAATCATTTTCTACAAATTAATTGTAAAAGTGGTCGTATCTATAGGTATATAAGGAATATTTATTCTTTTTTTTTGTCTTTGTAATTTGCATTAGTTTACTTTGCTAAAATGAATTATGCTGTCGAACTATCATTTCTTAAATTTAATTGTACATTCAGGGTGGCTATTAACGAAAACGAATCGTCTCTGGATTGGGGTAAAATATTAGAGGAGACAATAATCTTTGCAACTTCTTCCGCTGCACTCGTCAGAACAGTTTTTGCTCGCACGTTTGCTGCAGAAGCCAAAAAAGTTCTTTTTTTCATATCTACTGATTTCTATCAACGAATCAACGTTTATATCCATGTTTTTTGGTATTCCTATTTTGCTTCTATATACAAATTGGATTGCAGAAAATGGCTAATGGCGAAATGAAACAATGGCTTATCGATAATCCATGTCTAGATGCCGATGTACCTTTAGAAAATGAATTCGTTCGTCTTGGATTCGATAGTGTGCATTGGAGAATATCCGATGTAAATAATGAATTCAAGTAAATATTTTCATCTTATTTTTTACGCCTTAGGCTTAGGCTTTATTGTTTGACATATCATTGTATTATTTTTTGACATATCATTGTATTATTATATTGCTTTATTGTTTTTTTCTGGTAATAAATGAAATAATAAATAATAAATGGAATAAAATTTAATAGGTGCTTAAATTCTCTTATTTGTTTATTTCGTTTGCTATCTTAGGATATTTCAGTGTATGCGAAACATATCCTCGTAGATTTATTGTACCGTCTGATCTGTCGGATCAACATTTGGTTGAAGCAGCTGGTGCAAGAATGTTGTACCGTTTTCCTGCAGTTGTGTGGTATTCGAAGGAAAACGAGACAGTTCTCATTCGATGTAGCCAACCATGGCAGAATTTTTTTATGTATAGAAGTCAACAAGATGAGCAAACATTGAAGGCTATGAGATCTCGTCATTCAGAAAAATCTGTGAAAGAAGATGAAAAACAAGGTTGCTGATTTTTGAAAATTCTTTAAAATTGTAATATTGATTCATTTTTTGGTAGTTTTGTAGTAAAATATTGGTCATTTAGCTTATTTCATTTGTTTAACATTTTTTTTCTTTTTTTCAGTTTCTTCTTTTTATTTGTTTGTTGTTAAATTTTTATTTGCATTTATAGTTCCAGTTACTCCACTTCTGATTGTGGACTGTCGTTATTATTCAGCTGCTTATGTAAATTGGATGCGAGGTGGTGGCTATGAAAACGCTGGTAATTTTTAAATTTAGAGTAAATTTAGGGTTTTAGTTTAGATGGCCCATGTTATTGAAAGTGATTTATGGAAAGGGAAATTCATATGTTTCTATTTCTGTTGCAGATTATTATTCTCCTGCTGAAGTGATGTTCGCAGGTTTGCCGAATATTCATGCAGTTCGGAACAATTTTGCTGATTTAAGAGCAAGTGTGTCATGTTCAAATAATAATTCATCTTCTGATGGAGTTGTTCAGTGGCTTTCGCTTCTTACTGAAATTTTAAGTACAGCACAAACGTGTGTTAAAAAGTTACTTGAAGAAAGTAAGTTGCTTAAATTCGTTATCATTTATTGCATTTGTGCTTCAGTGGTGTTCCATTTCTATTAAAAAATTTTTAGAAACTTCTGTGCTCGTCCATTGTTCAGATGGATGGGATCGAACTGCTCAAGTTACAACATTAGCAAAAATTATCGCTGATCCTTACTTTCGAACTATAGAGGTTTTTCAAATCTTTTTATGTTTTTCAATTAAATATCCAGTATTTTAAAGCTTTTTTGCTCGAATTTAGATTTTATTTTTGGCGGAAATTTCGTAAATTTTATATGTTCTGATTTCAATTGTTCATGATATAGATATTTCTCGTATACATCCATGAATTATTTAAATTATTGGTTCTGATAAATTTTGTTAAATATAGTTTTAGATTTTATGAATTAACCTAAGCTATTTTTGAATCCTGAGAAATTAGTTTTCTTAGTAATTAGTAATTAGTTCATTGCTTTTCCTTTTATAAAATTTAAGGGTTTCGAATTTTTGATTCGTCGAGACTGGATTGAATTTGGTCATAAATTTGCGGATAGAAGCGGTTTGTTCAATAATAAAAATGAACAGTCACCAATATTTCTACAGTGGCTTGACTGCGTCCATCAAATTTTGCATAAATTTCCTGCTGCCTTTGAGTTTACGCAGGAGTATTTGGTTATTTTTTGAACACTTTTGGGTTTCCTATATTTATTTTTCTTTTATCGTAATTGAAGTAAAAAAGATAGGGAATATTTTTTGACCGATTATTTATGACTTTTTTTAGGTGAAATTGGCGTTACACACTTATTCCGGTCTCTTTGGGACATTTTTATTCAATAGTTTGAAGCAAAAAGTGCAAATATTCAAAGAAGCTGGTGACCCCGACATGTTTTCGATTTGGGCTTATTTAAGAGCAAATACCAATTTATTGAATGTGATGTATATTCCACCTCCTGATGGCAAGGGTTCATTAAAAGTTGATCCAAGGGGGCTTAGGCTTTGGATTGAAGTTTATGGAGGTCCCAGTTTGGAACGATTTTTCACTGCTCCAGTGGTATGTATCTCAATATTTCGATTTTGAATATTTGTTAGTGACCGAATTTTAGTTCTTGAGAAAAAAATTTTTATTCCGCGAAAAGTGTGAAGTATGAATCTTTTTGTAAAAAAAGATGGAATGTTTTGCAAAACTCGTTACAAATGCGTGATTTATTTGTTTTTTCTATATAAATTTGCTGTTAGGGTTCCAATTCAGGGTTCCAAAGAACCAGCTGCTTCTTTCTTCCGATTCATTTCGTTTGGAGGGAAAAAGGAAGATGAACGTCCACCATTAACTCGTTCTCGTTCTTCTGAAAATATCTCTGCAAGGTATTACCGTAAAACAGAAGTAAAAAAATATAGTTATATATATCTATAGTTCATATATATATATATATATAGTTCATATCCGTAAAATTCGACTCTTCTCTATTTTGATATCAGTGATATTGTCTATTATCTAAGTTAGTGGTTTTGCGATTTTATTTTTTAGGTTATCACGAGATAATATACAAGGTTCTCAAGCTGAGGAAGAAAATGGGAAGGCTATTAACAACTCTACAAGCCTCATTCAATTTCCGTTTATCAATTTTATATCTGAGCTATCGGTATTAAAAATTTATTAATTTATTTATTAATTTTACATTTAATTTATTTTAAATTTTATATGATTTGCATTCATTTAAAATAAGATTGGTGCATTACGTATAAATAAAATTTTTTCCACTTCTTGTAGGTGGTCATGACCGTTTTCAACCTCGGGTTCTCTACCAGAAGCCTGGGAGATTGAAAGTTCTGCTTAGTATCCTATCTGTTCGTAATGGTGTGCATTCCTGGATAGAAAATTGTTATGTTATTCCTAGAGTATGCTGAAGCCACTCTTCTAGAGGTTTAGAGGTCGTAGTTCCAAGTTTTCCAATTATCACTGGAATTACTTTGGTCTTTATTTTCCCTTTCTTCTCTAGTTCCTCTTTCACCCTTTGATATTTTTCTTATTTCTCATTTCCTTTTTTCTGACGTTTCTGTCGCTTGATATATCAATTACCAGTGCTGATTTCTTGTACACGATATCTAGTTAATTGGCCAGTAGTTGTTTGTTTGTTTGGATGGGGGAATCCCATGAAATCTTCGCCTTATTCTTTACAATTTTCTGAAGAATCTCATTTAGTCTGGGGAGGCTTTGAGCAATATGCCGGTGCCTTTCTTGCATTTTACATCTTATCACTATGTGTTGGATTATTTCTGAGACGGAGTTCTGTCTATTGTGGTAGGTACTTGTTTCGATAGATTCTTACTACTTCTTCTGTAATTAGCGTTTCAGTGTTACTCCAACTTTCTTTAGCCATTGGTAGAATGTCACTCATCGCATTTGCTTATCAGTGGCACAAGCTATGGAGAGCTTTGCTTTGCCATGGTATTTCCTCTGCTTCATCGTTTTCTTGTGTCATTCTCTCATTTTTTTGCTTATGAATTTCTGAATGCTTCGAGTTTCACCAAGCTCTACCTGCCTTCAATCCAGCTGTGACTATAGGATATAAAGGTGTTTGTTGCTAACCTGTATGTTCGCTATGCTCTGGTGGCAAGTGTACCACATTACTTTTCTTTTTCTTTACCATCAGGCCATATTTCCTTAATTAGAGTGACATTTCAGTGTCCTCGCTGTAGTTCCGATTTAGATGGATGAAAAGTCCATATCTCGTTCAATATCTCATATATATTTTAGGATGAAGTTGATTGTGATGGTCTCACAAAGTTCAGTGAATCAAGTACAACAGAAGAAAGGATCAAAAATTTAGAAGTATTGATTTAGAAGAATTAGAAATAATATAAATTTAGAAGAATTATTTTTACAAGTAAATTGTTTATTTACATGTCAATTAGTTTCTATTAAATTCAGTAACATAAATTTTAGGCAAAATGCGGTGAATTGGAAATTTCCACTCCAGTTGATAAAGTCAGTTCGCGTGGACGACACCAAAGTGGGGAATTGAGCTATTCCAATGTAATTATCATTTTCATTGTATTTCAGTTATATTAGTATATTGGTTATATTTTTTATATCAAAATGAACAAGCTATACCAATTTCCAATTTTTAGTCGGTGTGGTGGCTTTGAAAATGAAATTTTTTAATAAATCCTTTCTAAAATTTTCTTAATCTTATTAACAAATGCATTGGCATTTTTGTTGTTTTATTTATAATTTCATTATTCATTATTTTCAGAATAGTTCTGTGACAGCTCAATGTGCGGACTGCGAGACATCAACAATGAAACGTATGGATTCGATGTTAACCGATAGTTTTAGCTTCATAAATCAAAGGTGAAATATAAATTTATAAAATCTGAAAGATTTAATTATTTATTCTTTTAGAAAAGCAAGATATTGCAAGTTTCTTTATCAAATTCGTGAAAGATATTCATAAAACATTAAGTTTTTTTATCTTAGTTTCAGTGAGATTGAAGAAAGTTTTATTGAAATAAAAAACGAAGAAATTGAAGAAATTGCCAATGATCTAAAAAAAGAAACTGGAATAAGTGTGGTAGAAAAAAGTCAATTGGAAGATTAACTGATCAGATTTGTTGTGATCCAAAAGATATTACGTGATAATTACAGAAATAGAATTATTTTTTATTTATTTTTAATTTTATTTTTTTCCAGTTTTAGTGGAAGTGAAGCATCTGCATCTCCCGATGTATCTTTCAATTATGGAATTTGTGATTCAACTTCACTTTCTAGTAAATGTTCTATAGAGAACATGAAAACATCTGAAACAACATTGCAAAACATTCCGCAAGAAAAGAATGGCAATAAACCATTTGAAGTGAATCATTCGGATGGTCAAATTGTTTTCGCATAAAAACCTGGTTATATTTATGTTTTCATATCAAGTTCTCATGATCATAAAACGCTTTATAAATTATTTATAATCTTCAGTGTTCAGTATATTTGCAAATGTATGGCTGTTTGCGTTAATCTTAATTCATTCATCCATTTATCATATTAAAATTTTAAAGTTTTTAACTTTTTTTTTCTCTTATTTAGTTTTATGTCACGTTTTAGAACAATTTGTAGTGTTGCTTTGGTGCTCATATCGAACTCATTTTGCCTTCCTGACTAAATAATTTGTATTTCGTTTCTTTTTATGGCTGCTTTTGGTCAAATAGTGATTTTTCCCACTGTAGTACTTTAAAGGAAGGATTTGAACTATTTTTACATAAATTTAAATCCAAATTTGCTTTATATATAGGGCATCAGTGATGAAATTTCATTTTAAAGTTTGTCAAATTTAATTTATTTATTTGCATTAATTTATATAATTTATTATCAATTTAGTTGTGTTTTTTCTGCCTGTTATCCAATAAATTATCCTCGTGAGAGCTTTATAATGGATTGGCTAAGAGTTCTATGGGTTATAAAATCAATTATGATTTTAGATAGTGAAAATCTCAGAATCAAGATAATTTTTTTGGCTGAAATGGAATAAATGCAATATACTGGAATTTTCCAATTTATAAGTAGGATGAGTGCTCATAAAACTGTGATTTTTTTTTATATATTTTCATAATTGTTATCTCGCAGTTTGCCTCAGAATTGTTATGGCGTTGCTATACAGCGATTATGCTAATTCATGTACGATCAAATAAATTGCTCATCCACTTACTCGTTCTATTTTTCAACTCTAAAAAATATCTTTAAGCAACCGTCGCAGCTTAATTCAAGATTAACCTTTTTAAGCTAATAAATTTAATCAATTCTTTTTCGTTTTATTGTAGATTTCATAATTTCGGTCCATTTTTTATCGTTAAAGTGAATATGGTTTATTAATATTTTAAGGATTATAAGTAACATTGGTGAGATATCCCAGATAATTGGGACAATATGATTGGGAATAAAGGCGAAAGAAGTATATGGAAATCTGTCATCTGTCGGGATCTAATTAATTCCTCTGGTGGATCATGCGTCGTGCCAAGCACATATCGATATATTTCCTTCTGATGGAGAAGCAAAATTCTGTTTTCCAGAAATTGAAAATCGCGGAAATAATCTCGGAACTCTCGACATTTGGATAAACCGTTGATTGATTTGCCGGAAATCATGGTTGGCAAAGATGCAAGATGGTTTCACAATGTTCTCAATCGAATTTTCGTAGGAGGTTTATTTCGATTTTACTTTTTTTATGGTAATTGTTAATGAGACGGCGAATGATGGTTTAGAAAATAATAAAATAAACGATGGTTTAGAAAATAATAAAATAATTAAATAATAAAAATTGCAAAATATTACTTTAGATTAATTCAATCAATCGTGGATTAGTTAAATATTTTTAATGGTTACTTCAATAAAGACAAAAAAATTTGTGTCGTCGTGTAATTCAAATTCCACAACAGTTTGGAAAAAAGTGAGGCAACTGGCGATCCGAAGATGCTGCTAAGTGGTAGCATTTTTTCCTCTTGGTGCTGGATATCCATCTGCCATCTTCAATCTCCAGGTGTTCCTCTGAAGAGCCTTATCAGCCAATAGAACCAGCCGAGAAACGATGAGCGTATTAGAGGAAAGACAAGAAAATTTTTGCAAATTTATAAAATTATAATTTTGGAAGTGGCTACGGAAATTACTGGCTACACAATCCTCTAAAAAACTTAGAAATGACTAAACTGAATGGTCTATTAAATTTTTTCAACAATGTTCCAGCCCCTATAGTTCAATTTTTTCTCAGGACACTCACCATTTCTGGTTAGATTTCTGGTTTCTCGCACCGCTTGCTTGTCGGACCATATAAATTTTCGTAGGGATGAATTTCACTTGCCGATAGAAGTAGACATGGCTGGCCAGCATTACTTTTCCTCTTTGCTATTAAAATGGCCAAATAGTTATTTTTATAATCTCAATAATTTTAACTTTTTTTAAATTTGTTTTTTTGTTTACTTTCAACTTTTTTTTATAGATGGAAATTTTTAAAATCACCTTTTTGTAAAGATCACATTTTTGTGGAATATTTTTTCTCGAATTTCTTATCACTGTGTTTATCACTACCACTGCGTTTCGTTTATTCATTACAATAAAAGCAGAACAATTATAAACGAAGGCATTAATCTTCAAATAAGACATTTTTCTGTTTTTTACGACCTTCCTGTAGAAAATAACTATTTTTATTACTAAAAATTTTCGTTCTTTTTTTCGTAAAATTGCGAATTTCCATTTCTTTTTGCTATAATGAATAATAACAATAATGTAGTTAATGAAAAATAAATTCGTTTTCAAATTTTTCAGGGGAACATCGATCAAATAAAGAAATAACCAAAGAATTATCGTTAAAAAATCTTTACTTATTAAATTTTCGCTATATTTATAAGTCGAACTATGCAAATAAAAATAAGAAATATATAAACATATAAACGAATACAAATGATAAAAAATACATTCTGGAAAAGCATTAAAACTAAATTTTATTAAATATTTATTATTAAATATTTGTTAAATATTTAAAATATTTTTAAATATTTAAAATATTTAATTCAAGTAAGTTATTTAATATTCAAAGTATTGTCAAAAGGGGAACATTGATTGAGGCATTGGTTTTAAGAAAACTAAACTAAAAAAGGAAGAAGAAGCTTCTAATCGGTGCTAGTGGCCCACTTGTATTTCTATTGATAAAGTGACTTAGTGGCGAAAAGTGCTAATCGCTAATCGGTATAGCTATCCAGTAATGGTGGTGCTAACCAGTTATTACTAAAAAAAATCAGAATATTGGAAAAATTGATCGAAAATAGTCGTTGAAACTAAATAAAAATTGGCATGATCTTTATTTTTTTTTTTCTTTGATTATCAGTATATAAATGAATGCCAATTGCTTTATTAAGCCCTAATATCTCTTATATTCCATTATATTAAAGTGTGATATCCAGTGATATGAAGTGAATTTTTATGTAGAGCATTCAAGCCAAACAGCAAGCAGCTTTTTTTGTAAAATATATTTTAGGGTTTTATCATTATAATACTTGTTTTTGACATCGTAGAAAACATCCAATCACATAGCATTCCAGCACTTCATCCAGACTGATTATATCTTAGTCAGTTACTGTTGGAAAAGTTTCGTATTAGATAGTTGTTCCTATCACAGCGCTGAAACGGGCAATCTTCATGGATTTGACTATTTTATGGTCCGAGCCAAGATCCACATAAAATTGACAACTCGTAACAAACATTCTCCAAGATCCTTCAACCATCTCAAATTAAAAAATTCAGACACTGAGTGTATTTCAAATCGAATTATTGAAGCATGTCAGTGGTACAAATATCGATGAATTTTCTGGAACGGCAAATGAATACTGGTCTCAACTAAAAGAATACGAAAACCAGCCTCTTACATGCTATGGTATACTAGTAAGAGGTGCGCCAGTTAGATATGGGAAGCAACTGTCCAAATGTCTGAAAAAGCTGCCAAAGCGCGAATGTTAGGAGATCCTGACTACCGGATGATTCGAAGAATTGCAATGACAACAGCACGGCGAGACAGAAATCACTATTGAAGACCTTGAGATTGGAGATGGCAGCTCGATTAGGCGATAATAGGGAACTATTTCGCCTTCTCCATAAACCAACTGTAATTCGTGGAACGATCAGTGAAATAATAAGGGACAACAATGGCGTGGCGTAAGAGTATAAAGGATCACCTCATAAGGTCGAAGGAATTCTTTAAGGCCAAACTTAACCATGATGCACCTGCACCTTCTGTTATCCTGAATATAATTGATTCGCCCGTCGAGCCTTACGTTTGCAATTGTGAATAGCCAATAGAAGAGGAAATAATCTCTATAATCCATAAGCTTACTGCCAATAAAATTCCCTGAGAAGATGGTCTTCGAGTTGAACTTTTCAAATGTTATCCATTATCCTTGATAACGCACGTTGAACATGTACTTCCTGGTTTGGAAAAAAGAAATATTACCAAATGACTGGAGCAAAGCAATTCTGCTCCCAATTTTCAAGAAAGGTAACAGGACATACTCGACAATTATCGAGGAATCAGTATACTAGACGTCTTAACAAAAATTTTTACTTCCCTTTTACAACAGACTTATGGGACAACAGGATGCGCCCTAATCAAGTTGGATTCAGACCGGGGCGCGGTTGTGATGACCAGATATTCTCATTAAGAATGTTGGAACATCGCTTCAATATTTGCAACCCACTGTCACGTGTTTCATCGACTTTGTAGTTGTCTTCAATTCAATTGATGGCGCTTTGGAGGATAATGATACACGAAGGTGTTCCATAGAAAATTATTTGATTCACACATTTATCAGCGTACGTCGGCGCAAATCTATATATATATATGTTGAACTAATAGAATCCTTTGAAATAAAAACTGGTATCCATCAAGTTTGTGTCCTTTCTCCTACAATATTCTATTATGCGATAGACTGGATAATGGACACCGCTTGTCGGCAATCAAGAGATGTCCAAATCAGTCCAGAGCATTGTGTCACAGATCTTGAATATGCTGATGATATAATATAACATCCTTTTTGCTAAGAGTTATGAAATATGAGAAATGCAAATAATGCTAAACAAGTATCAGCAACTGCAGCGAGAATCGGACTCAGGATCAATGTAAATAAAACGAAAGTGTTTTCGTCTTATGTGCAAAAAGCTGATAAAATGCCTCTTTTCGTATATTCATTACCGGTTAAGGAAGTGCTTAATTTTAAATACCTTGTATCCATCCTAATACCGAATGGCCAGGCAAAAGACGATATTACAAGCCGAATTACGGCAACGAGAAATGCATCCTTCCGGTTAACGAAACCTTTATGGAGCCATCGTGAAATCACCATAAAAACGAAATTCCGCGATCTATTTAGCCGATTCGTTCAGTTTTGCTATATGGCTGCGAAACATGACCAATGAGAATGAAGGATATTAAGAAGTCATCTGGTTTTGACCACTCTTCTCTAAGGTATATTTTACGGGTTCCATCGAGCGGATAAAATATCACATGATTGCATCCGCCTTCGTTCAAATACCACTTGCATTAATAATGTTATCATAGAGCACGTCTTCGCTGGTTAGGGAATGTTCTCCGTCATACACCGCAAGAGTTCATGCATATTTCATTACTTGCTAAACCGTGTGAATGGATGGCGTCAAAAGCGAGCTGGGCCAATCAAGTCTTGGACTGATACGGTCAGAAAAGATTTTGAACATATAGGTGAACCAGCGATTTATGGACTAACAATGGAAAAAGGAATGGCTTCTATTGCTGTCGACGATGGCATCAGACCGCGATGCTTGCAATCGTCTTGCCCTTGTAGCCATTGGAGTCAGCCTAATAAGTAATGGTATCAGAAGAAGGGTTTTATCATTAGCGATTAGTTTATATCTTTTTCGTTAATATCTTTGAAAAAATGTTTTTATCTATCGTTTTTATCTTGTGAAATCTTGTTGGTTTATATAGGTGTGCGTGTGTGCATGTTATTATTATTATACTTCGTCTTAATGCTTAATACTTCGTCATTTTGCATCTTATTTAATGATTTGTGATCAATTCGAAATTTTTATCAAAACATCAAATGCCAATTTTTATAATTAAAGTTTAATCATCTGTTGTAAAAAATACATGACAAATGATTCTAATTACGATAGATCAGGTTTAAAAGAATTTTTTAAGAGTCACGTGGAGATAATTTTGTCACCGCCTTTTTAAACTTTTCAACATCTTAAATATTCAAAAATCGTCATTGTACAGTTATCACCGAATAAAAAAGGCATTTAGTTACCTGTCGTCTTAAAAAAATGGTTAGTAATTCTCATTTCTGGTTTTTCACCCTTAAATAAATTAGTTAGGTTTGCAAATAGTTTCGCCTTTTATTAGAAGATTTTTTATTATTTTTGACTGTGTGCTGAGGATATTGTACATACAATAAATATGTTGCGATTAATCAGATGCCAGAGAGTCACTTGACGATGGAAATATGTTTTGGATCGGTAGCAACAACAATTTTTTATTATTATTAGGTTATTTCGACCATGGGAAATAGGTCGAACCTCCTTTTGATTTGATTTCAGTCGCACTAACATACCATAGCTGAATGAGTTGGTCATTACTGATTCCTCCTGCCTTATGAATATTAAACACAATAAACACAATAATTGTGCATTAACCAGACCATTGTATTGTACATCTATAAAATTTAGATTCATATTGCTCATTCATAAAGATATGGATTATTTTTTAAAAAGTCTGATAAACGAAAAAGAATGTTAGAATTTTAGAAGGAAATGTTGGTCGAAGAAAAAAAATTTAAATTTGAATAGAACAAATTGTGAAATATGCAAATTTAAGCGAATTTACAGGTGACTGAAACGAACTCGAATCACGGCAAATTTATATGCTTCGATCATGTACGATTTTGGGTTGGCAATGCTAAACAGGTTGGCAATATTTATTTCGAAGTTTTTTATTATCAAAGGAGGAAATTTCGACATATTTCTGGCCATCAATTTTTTGCTGTAGATCAATGGCTGCCAAACTTTTTTCCATTCTACATACTTATCACTATATGATTAGAGTAAAGAGAGTCCCTCTCTTGTCAATATGCCTAGCAGTTGAAAAGATTGGCCATATGGCTTTGGATGCCAATAAGCCTCGAAACCTCCTTAAAATCTTAAAATTAATTCTAAGGAGAGGATTCTCTACTAGTTGAGAATTTCTGCTGCTGCCCAAGCGACTATGCATCTGTTTAAAAAGAAATTCTGTGAACTGCCAGAATGAATCACATCAATTATAAAACTTCCGCCTTTTCCGCCTTTCTGCCTTTGCTAGCTCCACAGATATTATTAATTAAATAGGCCAAGTGCTAAAGCAAAAAAGAGAAAAAGTTGTGGCAACTCGATTTGCAAATTTAAAAAAAATTTTAGGGTGAGTAAAAATGTGAAATGAATGAGAAAGTATGGGAATGTTTTTAATTAAAGTAATTATAAAGTAATAAATTGTAAGAAAGGGCCAAGGCCAACAAATCAAAAGCGCATTTACTTTATTATATGGAAATATAATTTATATTATTTTAAGGCAGCATTCTGGTACTGTGCATTATTTGGCTTTAAGCCACTTGCTTATCGCGGCCTGGAAACTGGTAATCGACTAATCGCATCGCATGCAGTTCAACAAGGAAAGGTAACGTACTATGCCAATGTGAAAGAGTCATTTCAACAATGATTTGCATGACCAAAGAGATAGAAAAATTTAACTGCAGATAATTTTTGTATTCGAATCAGCTCTACTGCCATGTTGCAAAAAAATTGGTGCGCATGTTGCTCACCATGGCGATGGTGTCAAAGATATTGCATTTCAAGTAGAAAATATTGAGTGGATTATCGAAAAAGCTCGTTCGAAAGGTGCGAAAATTTTATCAGAAGTTAGTGAAGAATCCGATGAATATGGTTTTGTTAAAACTGCTTCGCTTCAAACGGTGAATTTTTTATTTTCCATTGAATTTTTCAGTTTTTTTAGACAAAAATTAGGCAAATTTTTTTTAGGCAAATTTTGTTTAAAATTTTTTTTAGTCGATTATAGTAAATTTTTCCATGTTTTTTCTGAAAATTTAATTCATTTAATTTTAATTTAATTCATAAATTTTAAAAACTTACAAAAATAATGTATTTTAAATTGATATAAAATACTGTTGAAAACCATGTTGGCATTTTTGGCATTTAGTCAAATTACTTGTTCCACATTTAATAAATACAGAAACAAGTGGTAAGCGCTTATTATTTCTGATTTGGCTGGATATCAGCAGCAGTTTTTTAATAATACATTCCTCCAATTTTAATAAAATTAATAAGAATTTAATAAGCACAATAATTTTTCTGCGAATCACAAATTCAGGAAATCCAGGATAATGATAGGTAATGTCTATTAATAGATATGTAAATTTTTTGCAGTATGGTGACACTGTTCACACTTTAATTGAGAGGAGAAATTATAACGGTGTTTTCCTTCCTGGATTTCGAAAGCATAACATGAAGACCGAACTTTTTGACAAATTACCACAGGTTGGACTTCATTTCATTGATCATTGTGTTGGTAACCAAGCTGAACACCAAATGGAAATTACGGTGAAATGGTATGAAAATGTTCTAGGCTTTCATAGGTACAATTTCTCTTAATTTTCTTCTTATTTTTTTGCAGAGATAATTTCTATTTAATAAAAAATTATTCGAAAAGTTAAGATTTTGGTCAGTGGATGATTCTATCATTCATACGGAATATTCAGCACTTCGATCTGTTGTAGTGACAAATGCTCAAGAAACTATTAAAATGCCGATAAATGAGCCGGCAACTGGACGTAAAGCAATTTCGCAAATACAGGTGGTTTAAGAATATTATTTTAGTTTATTTATTATTAATATTAATGTCATTAATTTTCTAACTATAGGAAGATGTGGCGTGGTTTATTGTACAGATACACAGCAGGATTCATTTTTGAAGCACAAATCTTAAATTAATTTCAGGAATTCGTTGATTTTTATGGCGGAGCTGGAGTGCAACATATCGCCTTAAACACAACTGATATTATTCAAGCGATAACTGCGTTAAAAGCTCGTGGTATGGAATTTCTGCAAATACCAGAAGTTTATTATAAGACTTTACGCAAAAAATTGCAATCGGCAAAAGTCAAGGTATTACAATTACCATTAGATGATAATCATCAGTTTTATCCCAATAATAAGAACTAATAATAATACCGAATTTTAGACTTTAATTATATATTAATGAGTAGAGATAAACAATTCAAAAGCTTACATTTTCATTTTTTCTGTGGTACCGGAAATTTTATGCTATTTTCCAGGTGAAAGAAGACCTGGATTCACTGGAAAAACTGAACATTCTTGTTGATTATGACGATGACGGCTATTTGTTACAAATTTTCACGAAACCGTGCGAAGATAGACCGACGTTGTTCATTGAAATCATTCAGAGACATAATCATCAGGTATTTTATTTTTAATTAATGATCTGTTTTTAAAATCACCTTTCCATTTAATTTACCCATTTTTCTTCTAAAGGCTTCTTCATTTCTGGCTAGGCTTGTTGCATTGAATTGTCGACCCAGAGGAATTATTTTACGAGAGAGACAAACGATAGAATTCAGGTAGATCGCCAGCATCACCTATAAGATTTCGACCACGTCGAATAATTATGTTTCAACTTTTCAACCAAATTTGTTCCATAGTTGTTGGCACTGAATATTTTTCCTGCATCTTCTCTCCCCATCGAAATATATTTTCATATTTTCTGAAACTCTGAAAATAATTTTTCATATATCACCCATTTAAAATATTTTTAAGGGTTTTGGCGCTGGAAATTTCAAAGCTCTTTTCGAGTCGATTGAAATGGAGCAAAATGAACGGGGAAATTTGTTTTACACGAATGTCGTTGACGGTGGTGAACGAATTTGATGATAATTTATAGCAATTTTATTCAAGTGCAACTTATAACTTGTAAATCACAGCAAATCAGGAATTCCTAGAACTTGAGTTGCGGCAAATGGTAAATACTGAATCGAGAAGTTCTCAAATTATTGGACAGGCGATATTTATAGACGAATTTCTCGAGTGTTCTAAAACACCTTTCTATTTAATACATTCTATTGATTTAAAATTTCACAGTTTATCTCCAAATCGAACGGATCTGCTAAGTTCCACTCAAATTCAGGCTGAATGGCCCTTTATAAATGGAAAATAAAAGAACTTTTCTTCTCAAAATACACTTCCTCATGAATTTTCGAGCTTTTATAAAATTAAAGCATAAATTATGTTGTGTAAAAGTCGTCGAAGGTCGCAAAGAAATTTTATCAAACAAGCGCTGCCTCAAGCGCGTTAAACAATTAAATTACGATTTGTTCGCTGAAACCAAAACTTAATTCAAAAATTAATAACTGATTTTTATTGATTGGTCGATTTAGAAATAATTATAATTATTATAATAATAATTAAATAATCATAATTATAATAATTATATAATTATAATTATTGTAATTATATAATTATCAAAATAATACAAAAAATTAATAAATTAATTAATAATTTAATTTTTGAAATTAATAAATTAATGAAATAACCAATAATAAAAGAAGGTTTACAGTAATGAAGCAAAGCAACAAAGCAACATATGAATTAGCTATTTTGAAATTGTTTTATTCATTATATTATTATGTTATTTAATTTTATTCATAAGTAGGTTGGCATCATTTTAGGTTGTTTTTTCTATAAATTAATCGCAGATAACCATATGCAAAAGTGCATCCTAAATATACAACACTTAAAATTGGTTTTCATTTAAAGATTTCATTCCATCTCTTTTTAAAATTCATTTAATACAAAGGATTTTATAATTAAATTAAATTCTAATAAAGGAATATTCATTTACTGGAATTTGCAAAAACTCTCTCCACTGAATTATATAGAATTTCCCACTAAGTATGATCTGCGATCTAATGTAATTAGTGATTCGCAAACTTAGTAGAAGAAGGAAAAAATGAAAAAGAATAGATGCGGTGGAGTTCGACAGTTTTAATGCCACTTAATATATTGAGTACTTCAACACTTAGTCTTGCTTGAGATAAGTTCGAGATAGCATAAAGAGGATTTTAAAAGTGGCTTGTATGGTATAAGAAAAATCTCCTATCACCACTCTATTAAGCTTTGGTATTTTACATTTGCAACCGCAGCAAGTTAGACGAATGGATTAGATCATCGGCCATCAGGAATCAGATTCTGCCTTGGAGCAGTATTACTTGTTGTTCAACCGGTAATGCAAAAGTTGTACAAAATTTCTAACGGCCAGTGATACTAACCTAACCAGAAATGATGACTCACTTATTCAACTACTGTTGCGCCAAAAGTGCTCTGTTTAAGAAAAAAATTTACAGCCATCAGCAGGTTAGATCAGGTCAGATCATCTACAAATAATTATGAGAAAATTAAAGTAAGGGAGTTATAAATATTACCTATAAATTATGAAAAATTTAAGATAGCTAAATTCATGGAATTTTGGAATGCTTTCGAGAAAATATGCAAGTTTTGGAAGATATGAAAAGTTCCCACTTAACGGGCCGAGATTTTTAAGGAACGCTAATGGTTATAAGAAAAGGAGATGCGCGGTTCAGATGCGCTGTTCAATAAGACTAGCAAGATTTTGGTTATCACAAGAAGTTGGTCAAAGATAGTAAAAGTTTTTGGTAAGGGGTTGAGGTTGCAGCAAAATACAACAAGATTTGGTGCAACAATGAAATATGAGGTGTTCCAGAGGAATATAGTGGCTTACGAGGAAATTGTCAGGGATAGATCGGAGGGTACTATTTAGCAGAGCCTGGGAAGATATTCATTATTTCAAACGATACGTTATATCAGAGACTTTATTCAACAATAAAGTTTCTTTCAGTGAAATAATGTAATAATATTATAAAAACTATTCTGTAACGAAATGGATTTCAGGATATGTTGAAAAAGAATTTAGCCATATTTAAATATTTAAAAGTCATTGAAAAGCAATGTTTAGCATATTTAATTCGAAACCTATACAATATTCCGAAATCGCAGTATAATAAAAGATTATAGGCCTTTTAGCCGAATTATTATTCTTCATCAATAATTTGGTTAAATCAAAGAAATATAGTAAAATATTAATAAAAATAACAAAGAACAATAATAAATAACATATTGATAAGGAAATAAAACTATGTTAAGCTGCTAGGTCTTTGTGTGGGTAAACAGAAATAAAGAAGCAAAAGAGCGAAACGGACTTCTACTATCACTTGTTCGAGTAGTTCCACATTCCATAATAAAAAATGCAATAAAAAATAAACACAATAGAATATAGCAATAAAAATGGTCGACAACTACAGCATTCTCTGCTGGATGCAGGAAAGCCTTTTCAAGCCATTCAGTCGGATGCCATTCCTGTGATTGAAAAGGAATCCACTCTTTTCTCAACGTCCATGTACCATTAAAAAAGAAGGATTAAAAAAAGCTATAAAAGTACGACAAAAAGCTTTAAAGCTTCTGTCACCATTCAATTAGCAAAAAATATGAAATGTTTTAGAAGTATATAAATAGTATGAAGTACCATTTATTCAGTTGATATGTTCAGAAAGAATCATTGGACTCACAGAATTTACGTCAGATGTCCAAGTGTCAAATCCAATTCAGTTAAAGTAAGAAACTAGTAAGTAAGTAAGGTTTTCAAAATTTAATGATTTCCATAAAATCTAATATTTTTCGTTTCATATTAATATTTAAGAAAATATTAATACTAATATTTATTGATATTTTTTATTAATTATATTTTACAGCTGTTCACCGGTTTATTTTCAACTTAAATTAATTTTACGCTACCTGCGAATATGCAAATTTTTTGAAAAGTATAAAAGCGCTGCAAAATTTCAGTTGAGATTTTGCACATTAATAATCTTCGCGTTCTTTCGTTCAACATTTCAATAATAAGAACAAATGGCTCGTCGACGTTCTGCAAATTCAAGAAGGGTTGGAAGTTCAAAGTCAAGATCTTCAACTTCTTCAATATCTTCTCGAAGTCAACCGCGTACACAGCAACGACGCGCAAGAAAATCTCCTAGTGAACTAAGCCGAGCTAGATCATTGTTCGCTAGGACAAGGCCACGAGATAGTCGCGGTCGATTTCTTCCAATGAATTTCAGGTTTGCCTTATTTGAACAAATTTTATCACATTGTAGCTCTATAGTTCATTAATTTTTTCCGGAAAGAGGAAAAATCCTGATAAATGATGAAAAAATCCGCCTAGCTGGCTAATTATTATTATGAAAGCGTAATTTTTAGAAGTACAAAGGGTTCCAGACATAGTGAGGAAGAATCGAGAAGTTCAGACCGAGATGTACGAGACGCCACTGCTCGAAGAACACGCAGAAGAGGAGCATCACGCTCAGCAAGAAGTGTTGAGCCTTAAGTTAGCCTCTATTATGTGTTAATGAAGAAGAACAATTGTGCCTCTTTCAAAAATTTTTTGAGAAGTCTTTTTTAAGGAATTCAGAATTGTATCATTTTATCAAAAGAACGATTAATTAAGTTAATTGCTAAAATGTAAGAAAACATTTTTAAAAATCCATGCGATCCATAAGTTTTTCTTTCAATTTCAGGTCACCAGCAAAAGTTCACAAGGATAGCTCACTAAATAAATGATTTATCTGCTTATTTCACTCTAGAAATATATATGTAATTTTTCTTGTGAACGGAATAAAAAAATTTTATATTTATGTGCCACACTGAGCATTACAAAAAACTTCGGAGACTTTGAAAAAACAAAAATTTTAAAGATTTTTTGAAAAAATAAAAGAAATTATGCAAAATTCAGCAAGAAAGCTCCATAAAGTGTGATGAAATGAAAGGATATTTATTCTTCTTTATTAGATCTTGAATATTTCACCATTATTCAATGAGCCAAACCTACGAAAATGTTTAAATGTCTCCATGATATCACTTATAAATTACCTACCTAGTTAAAATGATCTAAAAAATCTAAAAATCTACTAAAAGCCTACATTGTGACTTAAAGATTTTTGCAAAGAACTGATTAACTGATAATATCCATTCTTTTAAGCAATCAAATAAATAAATAAATAAATGAGCAGTTGAAGCTCATCAGTTCTAGCTAATTAATAAGTTAGAAATTTTCGCTAGTGAGCAATTCTGCGATAGAATTAGGTCGTCAGCATCACCTGAAATACTCCTTTCGAAAAAGAGAGCTCAGTCCTCGTACTACACCACTTTTGACTCCGTTATTCCTTGAAATAATATTACTTTTTGTGGAAATTAATCCCACTGAGTTTAAACTTAATAGTGAATTTAATGATTTTTTCAAATTCTGTAGACTGGTCGATTTTATTTTCGACTTCAATTATTCATTTGAAATCCCTAATTTCTAAAATTTAATTTCTCATTTAAATTTTTACAACTTTTTTTTTGCTATCGGTCGATTTTCGGCCGAATTTCGTGTCATTTTGAAATATATAAATTAATGAAAACTGTAAATTTTTATTCAAATGAAAGAATTACTATCAATTACTTTGTCAATTTTCAATTTTGTACACCACTAATCTTCAGCAGTCATTCGCTTATATTTATAATGTCTTGCAGCGGTCACTTCGCATTTAGCAAGAGAGCTCGATGTTCTGCATCAAGAAAATCGGTGAGGTCCTCTCAAACTCAACAACGTAAATAGCAATGGCGCACACGAAAATCTCGAAGTTCCATATCTAGATCAGTGCTCACTACCCGATAGTTGAACAATTTCGTTTCATTTATTTATGTCGCTGTGGCATATTTCTTGAGAGTGAAAGAGATAGTTTCTCGTTAAGGACAGAATTATTAAGGGTTTTTATCTATAGAAATACAATAGACTATGGAAGCAGCACGAAATTTAGAATCAAAGTAATCAACAAGGAAAAGCGTTTCATGGGTAACTTTCTTGTATCCTTTACATCTCTTTCTTTTAAGGAAGACATAAGTAGCGAAAAATTGCACTTTCAGCAACAGCACTGCTTGGCTGCTTATATAAAACTTTTGGCAAAGAACAATTCGGATTTATAAACCCTAAACCCTAAAAAGACCCTAAAAAAGTTTTATAAACTCTAAAAAAAATTAAACAAAAAAGAGAAACAATTTTTATTTTTCTATTTAAATGAAAATCCTAACGATTTTTTTCTTTTTAATATTACATAAATTGAAGAAGGAAAACCCAAGAATTTTTTTCCTTAGTGATTATTCATTAAAGTTGTAAATTTCTATCTAAGAAGAGAATAAATTTTTACAATCTTTTTGGTGAACGGAACAAGCAGTTCGTTGGAATTTTGAGGAAATTTTTTACAAATAGTAAATTAGGACAATTCACAAAATATAATAATAATTCCTTATATTTTTAGTAATTTAGTTGTATTTTTAAATCTCCTCATTCGTTTCATATATGATTATTTTCCTATTATTTCGAAATTTATACAAAAATAATTCACAATAAGTATTTCGTCATATAATTTTCGATGTATAGTAATCAGTATATCAGTGAATAATATGGAAAAATGTACTCAAATTAATTGTTATAAAAAAAGTAAGTAAAATTTTCAAAGATGGATAAAATTTTTATGTTATTATTTTAAACCAATGGTTTTTTACAAACAATACTCGTTTGAACACGCCAAGCTCTATCGCAGCCAGCATCATCCCATTGGCCAAATGAGCCAATATAATTGACGAGTGTACAAAATGCGCCTCCAATAGGACAACAATTATCTGGCTCTCTGCCTCGATAATTCGTGTAATTTACTGCCGTTCCATCGTCCCATTTAAAGCCAAAACCATTTTTACGAAGTCCAATCCAGAATGTTCTACCACCAACGAGATCTGAAGTGTTTAAATTTTTTAGCTAAATCTTTTGCCATTTCCTCTAACGCAGACATTTGATTAAAAAATTATCACTGAAAAAAAATGAAATTACTATTTACGAAATCCATTTCTGCTTGTGAATGTATGGACGCGACGTGTGCATTATGAGCGGTGCATTCAATATTAGCACCATGGTAATTATACGATCCATGATTCTTAAAAAAAAAGAACTGAACAAGAGAGAAATTTCAGAATGACTGGGAACGATAATTACTACCAATTTAAATAAATCTTACAACATAATAACATGATTTGAATGGTTTTCTCCTCGTCCATCCATTTGGACATGCTGAAATTATTTATTAAATTTTAAATTATTTTCTTCAACTAAACAAATTTGGTGCAAATGCAAATTTAATATTGCAACAATCCAAATTTTAGTTAATTTTTCGCCATATTTCAAAACAAATCCTTGGATTTCTGTTGAGAAATGCCCGAAAATATTCAAAAAAATGTTTATAAGGAAGTTGTGTTCAAAATTGGTTCACTTTTCGGTGCCAGTGGGTCACGTATGCATCGACCTGCTGCACAAACATTATTTGGCGGGCAAACACCTCCTGGACAACCTGCAAGAATGCTAAATGATATGTAAATAAATTTTGAGGTAATTGCCTGCAGTAAAATATAAAATATGCTCCATCTCGTACCTAAGAAATCCAATTTGCAGGTTCCTCTAACGCAGAATTCAAAAACTCGACAGTTACGAGTATTACGGCAACCTAAAGTTTTTTCTTTGAGTCATAATAAATACAGAAAATTTAAAAATTACTTTCAATAAAATTTCTAATTTTCTATATGATTTATTCAAATTTAAAATTAAGAATTCGAGCTAATAAATTGAAAATTTTGTCTCTCGCCGTTCTTTATTTCATGAATTTCAGAATTTCTAGAAGATCAGCTGCGGAAATTGCAGTAAAGTAGCACCAGCGGTCGATAAAAAAAAGCCGATATAAACTGAAACCAATTTAAAAAATTGAAATTACGAAGTAGAGGTCTGTGAGGATATTGGGTTTGCGCAGGAAAAATAACAAGTGATATAGCTAGAAGTTGGAATAACATTTTTTTTCTTCTCTCTAAGAAGAATTTTCTCTAATGGACTTACACCAAGCAATAACTGCAGATACCTAAAAACCGGTGAATATATGGTGCGATGTTTGTTGTTATATCAGCTGATTCACAAATATTGGCTTCCGTTCGATATTCCTTAGGTATCTGAATTAAATTACCTAAAAATTTTTTTATTATACTTGACTAATATTCGTTAGTATTTGCTGTATTGATATGAATGTGTGAGTGGTTCAAAAAATAGTCCATGAATAAACATACTATTAGCACCAACTACGATCAAATATAATAAACGGAAATATACTTGTTTACTTAATTCGCTTACTGACAGTAATTACAATTTAGCTCAAAATTCTATTACTAAAATAATTAAAAATAGAAATGAATGGAATTTTCGAAAGACCAGAAAACTGGATGGCCAAGTGGATGGGGGCTCAGATTATCGAGCTAAGAAGCAACAGCTCGTGCTTCCTCGTTGTCATTAAAAATCCAATTCAAGCTGGCCATTTGCATTGTTAAGTGGCTGGTAAGAATTTAGAATTTCTAACGTACTAGCAGATAAAGAAATGATGAGCTCTAAATATTCAATATAATACCATGTAATCGCAGTTCAAGACCTTTTTTTTTAAGAGTCCTTACCATTACTGGTTAAACTCGCTTGTCACATTGACCAATATGCCAGGGAATCCCCTGGCGATAGAAATACAAGTGAGTCGCCAGCATCACTCGTATTTTTGTACAGGTTTACTTTTGCGGGGAATCGAACCATGTGAATATTTATTGAAATATGGCAAATTTCGAAATTTTTAATGCTGCGAACTTCTAAGGTTGAAGAAGCTTCCTTCACTGTCCCTTCCTTTCAGCGCGTCCTACTTATACAAGGATTTCATATTACATATTACAATAATATATACGAAAAGCACTGATATTCCTCACATGAGAATACGACTATTCAATATCGTATTTTTTAGTGCATGGGATTTTAAAAGAATTTATCAGTTGAAGAATTTGAAGGCCAAGAAATACCGATGTTACTTCCACTTTTTTTTAGTATGCACTCGTTATTTTCTTTAGAAATATGATTGATTATAGCAATTTTTATATTTTAAATCCGAGTAAAGCTAACGGTTCACCTGTATCTCTGTCGCCAAGGTATATCTAGTGCGACAAGCCAGAGGAGCGAGTCTAACCAGTAATAGTAAATTCTCTAAAAAAAAAATCGACTATATGAGTGCTTCTTGCTATTATGTTAATGGGTGCTTATTTGGTGATTAAAAAATATGGGTTGTTCCAAAAATATTCAGAAAACTGTTTGTGCAACTGTTAATACTATTGGACCCATTTTTCACACCAAAAATTAGTGCTTTTCCCGATTTCACCTTAAAATAAAACTGCCAATTAATTATTATATAATATTATTATACCATATATAATACAGTATAATATTAAATAAGTTAAGGAAGGAATACCAAAGTGGATAGCGCCCAGAGTATTGCACCGAAGTGGTCTAAATGCTCACTAAAATAACACTGCGTCTATGCTACATGCTACTACATCACCTTTAAGCGAGTAAATGCACATTAAATGGCGAATTATAGAGCCCAAAGTACTATATAATCAAAGGAGAATAAGAGAAAAAGACGATAAAATATCAAAAAATAATAAAATAATAAAAAATGGAAAAGGGGAAAACGAGGTTACCAAAAGGAAAAGAGTGGTTGGAACCCAACCCGGCGAGCTCCATATCATCGCTGTTAATGATAAGCAGATGGCAAAATTGTGAGGCCGACTTCAAGTTTATACTAAGTTCGAAAGCAAAGAGATTGACTGCACTAAACGTACAAAAGTATTGCTCGCATTTCGCGAATTTACTTTTTTCTTCAAATTTTAAATTTTTCAATTTTTGGTTATCCATTATTTTTTATCTTCGAGGGTTTTATTGTTCTTTTGCTTCTAAATAATAGATTGTTCATTTCGTTCCGTTGACTATTCCTGTTTACGATCATAGGCGCCTAATTCTTTCCAGTCATCTTTGTGGTGGAGGATTACAAATCTTAATTATGTTATCAAAGATTTTACACTGATAAGATTATAATATTATTCGCTTCATCGTTATCGCGGATCGTTTCACTAGTCATGCTTGAAAGAAACTCTCGTCTATCGCTTATTTTAGTAGTTGACGTGCTTCACTCCAATGTCAAGTGTATCGGAAGGAAAGGCCTTCTGACATATGAATTTTGATGGCTTTTTCCGACAGATGAAAGGCTTCTTCCAACTCTAACTTATTCTTTTCCAAGCCTTGCCTTTGCTGGATTTGACCAACTTTTGAAGCCTTAATCATAACATAACCTCATAATAATCTTCCATTATAATTTTTTTTTTTTTTGTCGTTTTGTTTCATAATTTTATTTGATTTTTAATATAATTAAAAATACAATATAATATAATTAATTATTAAATTATTAAATTATAATTATTATAAATATTAATTATAATTATTAATTTAAATTAAATTTATTAAATTATTATATTAAACTTGAAATTTATTATTAAATTTAAATTATTAAATTTATCATTAATAAATTTATTAAATTAAATCCTTTAAAGATGTGTGAACATTATTCAGCATTTGAATATTTATATCGGAAGATTGTCCGGGAAGCTTTACCGGCTTTAACCTTCTAAATGAACCATTCATACAATTATAAAAACGTTTTAACAATTTGCAATGACAGATGGCACATCATGGAGCTCAGCAGCAGATCTCTTCACCATATAAGGCAGTCTTTGGTAGCCCTTAATAAGCAATCATTTTTTCTGATCACTGATTATTTTTCGAGTTATGATTGCGTTATGAGGAAGGAGGCAGCATAGTTCTTATTACCGCTTACTCGAGCAGTTACGGCCAAATCATTCTAATAATTGTTTCTACTGCTGTTACTCGCCTTTAAAGCATTCAATAGCCAGGATCTCTTAATATGCCAAGCCTTTTTAGACAATTGAATACCCAATATCCAATAGTGCCGCTCACTTCTCAAGTCTTTTAGATTGAGATAATTGAAAGATTTTACTGGACGCATTTTTCTATCGTTATATATTGTGCCCTATACCAATTTTGGTTCAAACCTAATATAATCTGATCTGAAGATTGACAATTTCAGCTTTTAGGAACAACTGTCTAGTATGAAGCCTTTCAAAGGACGATTGATATACCTCTTTCTCACTCCCCATTGGCAGGGGCCTAGAATATTGAGGATTGTGCACAATATCTCAGCTGTTTTTAATGCGGTCTTCTGGAAAGGAATGTTTCCCCTGGATCTGTTGGAGCTTTTTCAGTTTAGAGTTGATAATTCGTAGTGCTTCAATTATCATTGGGTCTACTTTGGTCTTCACTTTGGTCTTCACTTTCCCCATCTCTTTACCATATATACTGAGCAAATATTCCTGTAGATGGTGACAGCTAACTACTATGCCTTTCAGTGAATTTTATATTCTACCTCAACTATCTGTTGATAATGCAATCTTTGGAAGAAGTTGCTTCGCCATGGTATTTCTTCTGCTTGGTCTTTTTCCAATATCCAATATTCCAATAGTCTGTATATTCTTCATATATTCTCTCAGTAGCTCATCCTTTGGTGCCTTCGAGTTTCCTTCAAGATATTCACCAAGCCCCACTCAACTTCTTTCCGGCAATCTTTGGATGTTGGACTTGAATTGGAAATTTCCGTGCATTTTAAGGAGTTTCCTGGTCTTTGCATTATCAGCCTTCATATCTTCCTTTGTCCATTTTACAATTCCCGATGCTTACCTGATGACTGGTAAAATGCATATATTTGTAGCATAGATTTTCTTCTCCCCACTGAATTAGCTCTTCAAAATTTGTCTTATTCTTCACTTAAATATTATCTTCATTGCCTTCTTATCGTGGCTGCCATATGACTGTGGGATACCAAAGTACTTTATATCTAATCCGCAAATCTATTTGTTCTGGCAGGTCCACCCCATCAATCATTGCTGCTTTCCTTCTCTTTACTACCATCCAGACAATTTTTCCAATCCGAATGACATTTTAATGCCCTCACCGTAGATTTATGTTAAATGAATGAGTAAGGCAACGTCTTATTCGCTTTTAACCTTATGTAATGCAGAGAACTTTTACTACTGAACCTGTATTTAAATCCACTTTTTGCCTGAGGGAGTTTGGACGTATAAAGAACAGTGGGGGAGAGAATGTGTCACCTTGATATTTGCTGCACTTGTTAATGTGGTCTTTGATGGTTCTTTAAAGATATTTATCTTTCTGGCCTATCTTTTCTGGTGTATCTCAGCCTAGTGGCCAGTGCTATGAACTTTTGTTTAGTAATCTCTAGCGCTTCTGATGGAGCATAGCTCTTTTATTTTTCCAATATGCGGATCTTATTCTTAATCTCCTTTCTGCTATTCAGTGGAGTAACTTCTCTGCGTTTTGCTCTGGTCTTATTTTCCAGTCTCGTTTGGACATGCATTGCTATTCTTCTATGTCCCAACATTTCCAGAATTACATCTGCTATGGCATGCAAATTCATTTGTTTCTATTGTAATATCAATAGGAATTTGAGGACTCTATTTGCATTTTCAAATATATTGTCCTCATTAAGCCTTGGTAATCGGTTAATTGCTAGTGGTTTAAATGGTTACAGCCATTTTTTTCACGATTTTTTTATCTCATATCAACTACTTTTCTTAGCCATGAAGGTGATATGATGGAAGGAAATTTCCTCTTCTTTCAGATCATTTTGGATCTGAAATTCTGCTACGTTAAGTCTTGAGCCACCAACTATTTCTCTATTAATGTGGATGTAGATTTTTGTTCCTTACACTGTCCCTTAATATGTTTCATATATCCTCTTTCATCGGTTCTACTTTAACGACATTCCATCATCTCCATATTGTTTCATCTCTTCCATATAAATTCCAGTAACCCTTTTAATGCCACATTGCTACGGTGCCACAGCACATGGCGCAATTTTCAGTACCCAAAAATCCTATCGGTGTGGTATATAGGCTACGATTCGAGCTGCCATATTCCATATTAATCGTCCACCTTAGCCACCAAGCTAAACTGGGTGCATATATATATATTATAATTTATATATATATATATATATATATGTATATAAATTATAGTATGTCTGAATATTGACTGTTATATTTCCTTATATTTCTCCTCGTGCTTCAAATTTTTTCCTTAATTTTTGTTATTCAGATAACCGCCCTTTCTTATCAGAATACTTCACTAATTATTCAAATTAGTTCTTATTTTCATATCATATTTTTTGCATTTTTGCATTAGTTCTATTTATTTTTCCGTTTTTTTATTATTTTATACTAGCGAGTGATCTTCATGATTGGTAATTATTGGTAAATGAATGGCGAATGGGCCCATAAGTTAGGGAGGGGAGTTATCCGCAATCCGCCTGGAACATGCCTAGTTCCTCCCCTTAAGAGCATTAAGAATTTAAGACGAATAAGAAATTATCGCTGAAAATATTTAAGAAAAAATTAGAAATAGAGATACGGTATAGTGCGATAGAGACATCTTCTATCTTTAGAAAATGGAAGGTAAAGAAAGAAAGAAAAAGGGTTTTCTTCAGCCGTCTTAGATAAACTCCGGATAAACTCAGATGAACTGCCATTTAGGATTTATGATGGAGAGTTGGAAGGTTGCGGCTAGGAAAAAGGAAGGAAAATGGGAGATTTTAGGGTAGGTCACCCTCACATTCCTGTGCATCGTACGTCGTTTGCGTGGACATTACACGCCGTTCTCTTTCTCTATCGAGTCGCTATTCAGGTGCACTTGCTTATTAACATATGTATATTGAATTTGTTAATATTTACGTAGATTTTGGTTATAGTCTTGTATACATTTACATTTTTGTTATGAAGATTGGATTATTGGTGAATATCATAGAACATATTTTCAACTAAATGGTTGAATGAGTTATTGGCACTCAAAAAGTCTGCAAATCAGTTCAGAGCATAATATCACAGTCCTTTTCCCTGGCCGTTAAACAAATTACAGCAGGTATTAAATCGGATTAAGACAATAAGAACATGGCATACGTATCAAAATAAATAAGATGAACGTGTTAGCACGTCACATACGGATGTATATAAATACCTATCTAAATAAATTCTTCATTGGTTCAAAAAGTGTCTGATTCCAGTTGGATTTCAATTGGATTTCATTTATTTATGTCCATTCTTTTATGGCCAGAAGAAGTATGAAATTTCGGCACAAATTGTTGCAACTAGAAGTCTTCTGGCTGGCAAAACGCCTTTGTGGAACCCTTATGAAACAAGAAACGAAGTAGCAACTGTACTGAGTATATCTTCACTGAATGTCACTCACACTGGTTGAGTCATGTTCTTCATTGCTCATCTGAGGAATTCACTCACATAAGTATATTTGCTCTAAACCAAATTCAATGGTAATTTCTAAGGAACCCGAAATGAGAAAGACGAGCTTCCGACGAAGACGTCCACACGATATTTGGACAAAATAAAGACAGACAAGATTGCTTGCTTCTCTTAATAGATTTCCAGCAGTTACCTTAGGTCTAGAGCTCATTCTATTTCCAAACCTGAGAATCGTTTCACCAATTCCGGTTTATAAACTTATCGTAACTTTATTTCCTTTGCCGAGTGTCAAATAGGTGTTTGCACACTTTCGAAGTGTCGAATATTCAAGATTCCTTGATATGCGAGCTTTGATGGTTTTTCAGAAGTTGGGATTTTTTTGATTTTTTTTGCCTAATTTCTACCTAATTTGCAATTTTCTGTGTGACACAACTTATCTTGCATTTGGCCGATTTTTAAAACCTTTAATTTAAGTCAGTAATAACTGCCATAATTTAAATTTTTTATTATCATAAATTTTTCATATCAACTTTCTGATTCTGTTATTTATTACATTTTATACAAATGAAAATTGATCAGATAAATCTTGTCCTGCTTATCAGTACCAGTATCTTAGCACTCGTATATCGCCTCCAGCATGGTAGATAAATTCGTCATAGATAAAGCAAATGGTGCTTTAGACCATCTTTATTAATGCTAACAACGTGCTAACGTGCTAATAGCCAATGGAGCGAGTATGATCAAAAATGGTGAGTACCAGTTACTTTTTCATCGTGCATTTTGTTGATAAATATCTTTTTTTTAATTTAGATGGTTTTTCCAAAAGTTTGCTCAATAATTTTATTCTTGCCTTACTCCATTGTTCTTAAACATTAGCAATTAAAATCACACCATATTCAATTGCAAAAATTTCATTTATTCCACTATACAAATCAATTTGGTACAAAGAAAGAGAGCTTTATAAAATAATTCTGAAATATCATTTAAACCAATCTTCTTTTACAAACAATATTCGTATGGCGTGGCTTCCATGCTACACCACATCCAGCATCGTCCCATTGGCCAACACTACCGATATAATTGACTAGGGTGCAGGTAGCAGCACCTATAGGACAACAATTATCAGGCTCCCTTCCTCGATAATTCAAGTAATCTACCGGCGTTCCATCATCCCACCTGAAACCATTCCCTTCCTTGTGCAGCCCAATCCAATAAGTACTACCATGAGCGAGACCTGCAAATTTAAATTAACAGAATAGTCCTAGATAGCTTTTAAGATGAGTGAAGAAAAAAATTACTGTTTATGAAATTCATTTCTTCAAATGAATGTATCGACGCAAGATGACCGCCTCGATTAGTGCATTCTTGGAGACCTCCATAGTAATTATACGATCCAAAGTTCTGAAAAAAAAAATTTCCTTGAATTTCCTCGAATAAAATGATCAAAAGCTCTTAACAAAGCTCTTAGCTCAAAGAATGATTCGGCAAAACACACAGCGATATAACATGCATTGAACCGATCATTTTGCCTCCATCCATCCGGGCATGCTGAAATAAATTTTAGTGATTTCCCTAAGAAATAATAGATTCAAGATAATAAATAAATAAATTCAAGTAATTCAGCCTGGTGGAATGGAATTGAATAAAGAGAGAATCGTGCAGTTTTAACGTTCCTCATATCTCGCAAAAGTCTGGGCGCATCTTTGCATTGACTTGATTTAAAGCACTCATCCTCAACTTCACATGGCTTTACGCTATTCTCAAATTTCACTCCGTTAACTTCACTCCTGTCATAAGTGCAAGTTTTTTATTTCTTGAAAAAACATAGAAAATATCTTGGACATTTTCCAATCACCTGCAGGTGCTAGTGGATCCCGCAAACATCGGCCTGCTACGCAAACGTGATGCGGTGCACAAACACCACCTGGACAATCTGAAGAAATTTTTGTGATTTCATTCGAGACGAAATTATCTTTTAAAAAATCTGCTAGAAGGAACCAATCAAACTTACCAATAAAATCCAATTTGCATTCATTGCGGAAACAGGATTCGAAAACACGGCACTGATTGTGCATTCTGCAAGCTAAAATACGATTTAATATTCACTCCCATAATCACCGATAGCGATATATTTATCGTTATTGAGAATTTCAAGCGACTTTCTCATGAACGAGTCGCAATTTGCCGATGCTTTTAAAACATTTCAAATTCTAAGAAAGGAGTTATACGTACCAAGAAATGGCCGATAAGGATAGAAAGTGGCATTCA